CCCCTTGTCCCTGAGCTCAAGAATTCCTCAAGTTCACCGCCACTCCATATCCCAGAGATGGAGAGTCCGTGGCTGCGTACTTCACTGAAATGTGACGGCAGCTGCTCTCTTGGAGGGATATTGGGAGTTCAGAGCAGTTGCAGGCGTGACTTTGAAAGAAAGGAGAACACTTGCATCAAATGGAAACATCCCACAAACAACGCCATGTCCAAGTGGTGTACGCAGCCACGCCCACTCCATAGGTGAGATGTACAGTGTGATGGGTGGGAGACGCGGCGCACCATGTACTCACCTTTGGGGTTCAAACCCTGCATTCCTTTTGTGGCTCGAGTTCTGCTTATCTGCGCTTGGCAAAGCAGACGGCATTGCGCTTCCGCGTTGTCCCATCAACTGAAACAGCACCAAAATCTCATCCCCCTTGTCAGCGATCCTCTCTTGGCAACGGCTCAATCAATGGGGTAGAGTGGGGACACTTGGCTGAGTGTCTGTGCGCTCCACCCTACCCAAAGATTTGACATATTTTGTCTATCATATCTGCAGGACTATCCCTCGCCGACTCGGCTCTGAGCCCCAGCCTTGGTTCGAGTAAGTGACTTCGGCAGCGTTCAGACTTCATGACGCGCATCGACGCACTGTCATTGCAACCGCGCTCCAACGCTCCTCTGCTATAGAGTCAAACGCAGCCGCAAACTGGCATCGATCGACGGCGCGGGCCACTACCGCTTATAGAGAGTATGCGAGAATAGAAGGGTACTCGTTGCCTGATCACATAGTGTGGTACCACCTTACTCTTCTATACTCTCACAGAACACTATGGGCCAGCGCGACCAATACCGTCTATGGCTGCATTCGGGTTTGGCATTGGAGCGCGGTTGCAATGGTAGTGCGTCGACGCGCGTAACAGCGCGTCATCGCGAAATCTGAACGCGACCCTAGAGGCGCAGCCGCGTGGTATTCCTGCTGTAAAAATATCCGCGCGATCTATTGCACCAGAATAACCCGCCTCATTGGAATAGCGCCATTTTTTTGCAAAATGGATTTATTGATTACTTGCCTTGTTAAAGGCAGTTTTAAATTGTTATGCCGTTATTGTCTATGAGCTTGCATTGTAACCAATCAAAAGGCCTTTACACTTGTTTGCGTCAAAGGCCATCATGTTTAGGTGCTGAAGTGTGTTAAGGACCAGAACGGTAATCATGTTGTGCAGAAGGTGATTGAGAAGGTGAAACCGGAACGCCTGCAATTCATCATTGATACATTCATGAAAAATGGCCCGGATACGGTTCGTTTCAATACGTCTTGTCGCTTAGTTTTGCTAGGTCGTGACTAATATTGGTAGTCTCATTGTCTTTGCACTAACACACCACGGCACTGTATGCATCGGGAGGGGCACTGTACACCAAAGCTTGCCAGCTCTTGTTCTGACACGATAAAACCATGTCATGTTGGATCGTTAGGTAGCAAATGTTAGGAATGTAACCCATTAATTTAGAACAGTAAGCAGGCCAGTATGTTGATGATCATGTACCTCAGGAGTGGTCACTTTTGAAAAGTAGGAAATAGAAGGGTAATTTGTTGCTGAGCAATAAAACAGTGGCAAGATAAAGCTACGTCGAAGATGTCTTGCAGTCCTAGTGAGGGGGAGGGCGCAGACGAGCAGACATGACGTGACTCAGCTTCACTAGGGATGAGGCTTCACATATGTGGCTCCTTCTGAGGCACATAAGGTGCGACCAAAGAGAAAAAAAACGAATAGCTAGTTGCAATCATTGATTGGTAGGCGCGGCCCTTTTTGCAAGACGTGATAGGAACGTTACAGCTCTCAAGACGCAAAAAATGAGGGTTAAGTTAGTTTCCTCGTTCTTCATAACGGTGACTGTATTTTGGCTGCATGTGGGTACTAGTCCCCCACAGTGTCGAGCCAACCTTTTGAGAGTTAGAGGAACAGATAGAGTAAACCAAAAACTAGTTTAGTCATCCTATATAACGGGACGTGTTTTTGAACGCTGATTTCAAATATTCTTTCGAAATTCGCAGAACGATTCTCCGAAAGGAATTATGATGGTTTGCTTTAATGAAGGGAGACGGAGTCGAGCGCGGTTGCCGGCCAGTTTGCATGAATAGCAGCGAAGCGACTCCACGTTCAACGTCAGCATGGTGTAGAAGTAACGGTCTTGCTTTATAGGAAGTGTCACGGAGGTTCTGGTTTTGAGGAGAGCAACTTTTTGCATTTCATGAGGAATGTCTCTTTTGAGTCTAGAAAACACTCAACGCCAAATGGGTGTCATATTCGTGTTCAGGGAGCAAAACTACCCTTGGGGACAGGTTTCTAGCCAGATGTGAGGTTTTGACCTAACTTTGAAAAGTGCGGTAGCAGTTGATCGAATGTCAGTTGATGATGGTCATCGGTAGTTCCACGGCCAGTCTCTTGTCGATTGCTTGTCTTTGGACGGAATTTGCTTTTAGATACCAGGAAAACTGGAGCAGTAACAAATGAATGCGTAAGAAATGGCAAGATGAGTCTTCGTGCAGGAGAATGTATCTGGGCAAGCTTAGACTTTGGGCAGGAGAATGTATCTGCAGCTGAATAGGTGTGAACATCAACTGAACTAACCCATGGATGCTTCACTTTTCGAAGTCAGGTCAAAATGCCAGATTTGGCTAGAAACCTCTACCTAGGCGTAGTTCGCCCCCATAAATATATGGCACTCGCTCAGCGCGAAAACGCCTGCACTGCGCGCCAAGGGCACCTGTACATCCAAAAATTCTCCTAGATCATAAGGCACTAAGCGCGCCAGTAAACGCAAACTGTTTTTCAGGCAAGTCAAGGAGAGCGCTAATGTAGTAGTGACGCTACAACCACTTTTTGCCACGTTTGCACAAGAAGCAAAAAAGTTAAGCTCAGCAGGGATCCGATCCCATGACCTGTTGCGTGGTAAACGCGGAGGAAAAAGCTCCATAACTCCGTTCAGAGAATCGTTCTGCAAATTTCGAAGGCAGAGATCAGCGTCCAAAACCACGTCTAGTGAGCTACATCTCATTACAAATGGTCACCTCGACCTTCCCTAGTAAGATGAGAACATAAAGCCAAGTGTTTTTCCAAGTTTTTTTTTGTGGTATTTTTCCAGGCTCAAAGTACTATTTCACTGATACAGCTGGATAATGCAAAAAGTTTATCAAGCCAATTAAATTAATTCATTAGACTAGTCACTCCACTGGGCTTTATGTTGTATTTGCTGCATTAGTGAAGTGCTATTTCAAGCCTGAGAAAGGTGCCGAGTATGGAAGTACTGCAGAAAATCTCAATCTAAAGGGTTGATAGTGCATTCTGAGCTCTCCTTACGTTTCGGAATGAGTTTTGGAACCTCGTTTGGTTGTCAGACATCTCCTCAGAAGCCTAGGTAATTGATGAACTGCTAGTGATGCTATATTTCAGATTATGCAGTTGTCAATGCATCCGTATGGCTGTCGCGTTATACAAAGAGTGCTTGAACATTGTACTGAAGAGCAGAAGAGACCGGTTCTTGAAGCTTTGCATGCAAACGTTCGCTCACTTGTACTGGATCAGTACGGTAATTATGTAATACAGCACGTCATCGAGCACGGGAGTGATCCGGATAGAGATCGCATTGTACGTGAGGTAAGGCACAGTTTGAAATTATTCCAAGTTTTTTTTTCTCTACCCTAATCTTGCTTTTTCGTGCAGTCGTGAAAAATCGGGAGCTGTAAAGCTCGGTTTACCAAAAAACCGCTCTGACCGGTTACCACTCACTGTCTGCTTGAAGACTGAGTTCTCTGCATTCTTACCATATCCCATGCTTTTTGAAACCGTTTGTTGCAAGCACCGTATGGTGGTGGTATCCTGAGAGTCAGCGCTGCAGGATCACAAACAACACACGTATCCCCACGCGCGATAGGCAGCGTTCAGACTTTGCGATGATGTCGATTGCGACGACGACATCGATGCGCTGCAGTTGCGACAGCGTTTCAATGCTATAGACACAAGCACAGCCGCAGATGGCGATCGACAGGCGCTACCCTAGTGGCCAGTACCGATCGATACCAGAGTGCATGATTGAACAACGTTCTCCCATACTCTCTCAATACGTGAGCGGACGACGCCAATCAATTCCCGTCGGCGACTGCGTTCGCGTTTATGGCATTGAAGCGCTGTTGCCATGCAGCGCGTTATAGCGCGTTGACGCGAAGTTTGAACGCTGCATTATGTATTACCGCTTCTTTCAGATGTAGGACCATACGCTTTTCTTCGACCTGACGAGGGTGGCGTTGCGAGCGGCGTCATGCGCGTGGGATTCTCACTTGGACTTAATTGATTCAAACTGTAATGTCATGTCAACCAGTCAGAAGGCACTAGTCAGCTGTTCGCGTCACCTCAACGTTAACCTAACATCCTAAAAAATGAGGCCATGTCAAAATGAAGAAACAACCGGCGCCCTCTCTGCTCCTGGGATATGAAGAGTGTAAATCCACTTTTTCTTATGCGCACTGACATTTTGGGTGTTAATGTACAGTCTAGTTCGCTGCGAGTGTTGGTGAGTATCACAGGAGGGGTGGGTCTGGTCTGGCGCCCATCCGTTCCCCACCAATTGTTCAAGCGGGCAAACGACCAGAAATGGTAGAAAACAGGCGGTCGCCGCGGCAAACTCCTGCCTCCCTCCTGGCACGCTCCAGCATCCGAACACTCATCAGCGGATAACACTGTAACTGATAGAGGTTTGCAAGGGGGGGGGAGTAGGGTACACGAAGGCGTTGGCAAACCTATTGGTGCGCTCTCTTCCATCAAGATGATGATCCTCCTCTTTCCCCAAACATAATAGTGGCCAGTGGTGTCTCGTCGCTTTTGTTTTATGTCTTGACAATTTTGTATGGTCCTAACTTTATTTCTAGCTTTATCCTGCGGACTTGAAGAAATTATTTCTCAACATGATCAAACGATGTTGCCTTAGCCTTAGAAACGTGCCATTTTTTACCTAATTCCCTAAATTTTTCAGATCACAGGCAATGTGTTGAGGTATGCGCAACATAAGTTCGCCTCGAATGTTATTGAGAAGTGTCTGATCTGTGCTGCACCTCATCACAAAACGATGCTTATCAACGAGGTTTGCGGCGATTCCGACGAGTAAGTATTCCTCTCATAAATGGTTTTTAAATGCTCCGTCATACTTTGAGGCTATATGCTACATTATGCCTCTCTCTGGAACTTCTTGTGAAGAATTCTTTTTGTCTTCAGTCCAAATCCGCCGATACTGCTCATGATGAAAGACCAGTTTGCGAATTATGTTGTGCAAAAAATGCTCGATACTGCCGATCCGGTTTATCGTAAGAAAATGATGTATGCAATAAAACCACATATTCCTGTTCTTCGTAAATTCAGCTATGGAAAGCATATAATCAGTGAGTTGTCCGAGATTCTTACTTTTATCTGAATGGCTTTCATGTTTCCTTTCTGCTATGAGTTCAACTGCATTTTACAATTACCTACGAGGAGGATCCTTTTAGTGGGCACTTCTGTATCTGTAAAGAATACCGCTTTGTGCGCTACCTAGATGTGCTGTATGTTTTTGCTCGCTATTCGATACCAGAGATAGGCCACAATGCTTACGCTATGACGAAATGCGATGCTGTCTGCGTTCTCTCACTTGTGGGTCCATCTTGTTATTGGATAGCGCGCAGAGACAAAGGTGTCGAGGTATCACAGCTTAAGCTCCATATCCGCTCGTGTGCAAGTGGCGAAAGTAGTGCGCCCCTACGGCTCTGGACCTGCCCATTTAAACCACGGGAAGGATTAATCTCACAGGTTACAATACAGTGTTTCCAAGCAGAAGTACCTACACTTGTGTTGGCTGCGGATGAAGGGGCGTGTCGAGCGTGGTAGCTTTGGCGCGCAGCCGAACCCTTTCTCCACCCGTGGCAAGCGACAAAACTTATCGTTTTTGTCAGTGGTGTCCCGTCAATTTTTGTTGCGTAGCGCTGCAACAGCTGGGGAACAACGGGTCTGGGCCCCACGCCAAACTCTTTTCGCCTGGCACGCCGTTTCATCCGCAGCGAACAAGACTGTGTTTCGTACGGTCCCGCTGGTCGAATTGATTGACACAATAAAACTGTATATAGTGAAGTGTGAGGCAATACAAGAACAAAAGAAATATAACCAAATATGTTGGGGCATCTCATTCAAGAACATGGAAGGTTTTTTCCGAACAAATTGAAGAGGAAAACAAGAAAAAGAAAGTAATATTTTGATGCCTACTAGGTTCCTTCGTGCTTACCGTGTTCTACAGTATGTATTCTACAGTTTGCTTTTTCGTTCCTTCTACTCTATTTTGACTCTTTTTGTTTTTTTTTCTCAACCATCACAACACCAAAATGCCGAACTATCCCCATGGAGCTTCAGTTATAGCGGGTACTGGGTGCTCCTGTCAGTAAGGGACGGCCAAGACAATCGTAATATACCGCTCTGTCGCGCGCGGCGATGGGTTTCCTTAATTTGCATTAGCCTGTCGATTGGAGCACCGGATTTCATGTGGCTGGGAGATCATAACTACTTTTGATTTCACATTATCTGTTGTCGTCATCAATGAGTTAGAAACATCGTCATTTGAGGGCGCGAAGTCGCGCGCGACTCCCACCAGCGCGGCAAATTACGATTGTCTTGCACATACCCATCACGAATACTGCTTCCACCTTTGACGTTAACAAAGAATGCCACAGTTAGAACAGAATAATGTATACGCTATAGAGACTGTCAATTTGAGAAACGGATATTTTATTGCGATAATATATGCTATTCTGTGTGACCATTATAGCCTTATTTTCAGCGAAGCTGGAGAAGTACTTCCAGAAGCAGAACAATAATCATGCTCAGCATCATCAGCAGTTGCAGTTCGAATTGGGAGGGATGCAGAATCCAAATGTGAACCATGCGCTATTGTAGACATTCAAAACTGGTATCGCTTTTCTACAAGAGCGTTAACTCACATGGGTTTCATTATTTTCTCCGCGTGTGTTAGCCGCTGTAGTTGTTGATCGCATTCTGTCTCGGCTTGAAGTTGTATGGCTGTCATAAGACTATTCAAGGCGGCAGCTATTTTTGAAAGGGTAAAATAGAGCTAAGATATTCTTTACTGGGTCCCTAGCACGATTCCCCTCCCAGAAAAGACCTTCCGCCTTGATTAGTGAGGGCAGCTGTTTTTGCTGATTTGAGCAAGCTCTTTAGTTGCACTGTTCTGACCACGGTTTCTTTTCCTTCTATGACTACACATGGTCAGTCGTGTGTTTTGGCTTCAGATCGGGCTTCATATCCCGCAAATGGAGAGGGCGTAGCTGCATGCTTCATTTAAGCATGACGTGGCGCGCGTTTTTCGTGGGAAACTTCTATCTGAAGCAACTGTCATCCTGTCTTGTCTTGCTGGACAGACACTTGTTTACAGTGGTCCGAAAACGGCAACTTCTCACCAAAAAAACGCAGCCGCGGCCACATTCAACTGAAGTACGCAGCCACGCCCTCTCCGTATGCGGTATATAGAATGTAAATCGTCACAGTTGCCCGTCTACCCTTCGTTCACGGCCTTGTCTCCAAGCGAACTTGACCATCAATAAATTGCTTTTTTTCGTTCCAAATTTTGAGGATCACTGGCAGATCGCAGTTACTGTTCAACAGTTCAATTATAGAGTGACATTGAATCAGTCAGTGGTCCTCAATATACGAAGAATGAGGCAATTTTTCGATAGTCAGATTTTTCGACCATTAAATAAACAGTGTAGGAGTAGGCCACCATGACCACATAGCTTTCTGATGCCAAATAGCAATGACGAGTCAACTATCTATCTAGTATCTAAGAATACTTAGTGACTCGCGCCAATGCACATGTCCTGAACCACACTCTTGGTCATTTGGGAGGCGGGCAAGACAATCGCAATTTGTCGCGCCGCCGCGCGCTACGTATCGAGCGACCATGCGCGGAATGTGCATCAGTTTGTCAAATGGAGGAGCGAAATTCATAACGATTCAAGCTAAGGCACGTCTTCGTGACGAGCGATATCGAATTACTCCATCCCTTGACACACTAAACGACCAGACAGAGCAACTCGTCAATCGGGCGCAGCGTCGTCGCCACGCCCACCAGTGTGACATATCACGATTGTCTTGTCAATCCCCGATTCATAGCTCTTTCACCCTTGTCCATAATTATCCATGCATTCTTACGGTAATCAATTGGCAACAATCCTGAAGCTTTCGCGTACCTTTTACCACCTTGCTTACAGAACAGTGTTTACTGGAGTTTGTTTGAAAATACTTGTGGAGTTCTCAACTATGATGTACGACGATTTTGGCTACGTGTTTAACTTTTCCTAATTTGCTACATTTATAACAATTGATCGTTCGCTTTTCTTCATAAGTAATTCCATGTCATCCTGTTATCGTATGATCTTTGTAATCTGTTGAAATAACACTCGTTTATTATTGTTAGTTTGTTAGGTCCATGATATCATGCTGTATTTTCTTGTGTAAAATTTTCGCTGCTCATTCCTTATTCCTTCCACTCACTGCTGTCGTCTTTGCATAGCTGAGCGCTCAACATGGTTTTCGTATTTTATTGGTTTCAATCAATAAGAGTTGTTGATTTTTCTTTTTTATTATGTACAGTTGTTTTCTTTGTAATTATGTAAGAGAGTATTAGTTTGTTAAGAAAATCTTAGCGGATAATTGAGATGACAATGGCAATTTGTCTGTCGTACAGCTAATTCGACATCATTATACATGTTTGTGAAATTGTGTATTTTGATACCGAACTAGTTCGAAAATTGTTTGTCTCCTAGTTCTGCACATGTAAGTTGTTCGTTGAGTTTTCTTTTCTGAATATACATTTTTGAAACTTCTCTGCCATGCATTGTTCAAACAGTTAGAGCTATTATTTTTTTTGTCTCTCAATGAAAGTATGAGCATGAGTTTTGAGACAGTTCGAACTGTGTTTCCCACAGAATATTTGGTCCAGTCGAGTGGAAATGAAATCGCTGAACGTGTTGTTTTCGATAGTCTCGATGTAATGGTAACCACATAACAGTGTGACGTAGTGCGGTAGGACCTCGCAGTCAGACGGGGTTTGAAATTTTCCCACTCAGGATCTTTGGGCAGTTTTTAGTGCAGCCTGGGACTGTATGTCGCTTGGCTCGATCACATTGCTATGGACATGTCATGCAACTCGTACAAGTCGCAGAACCAATGAATTTTCCCGACTAATCATTGGGAGACGCCTCGCACCACGTGAGCAAGCGGGCACGCACTGAAGTCTGCGCTGAGAAGTTCAATCACACCTGCACTCAATCATGAAACGCAGCTGATCAATGACTCGGACGAGTTATCTGACCTGGGAACCGTGTGTGACTTGTTATGCCATGTTAATGGTCGCGCCAAACGGCCGCCTCCTCAGCGTGAATTATTGCTTCGCAATAGGATCTCAGTGGGTTAGAAATCGTTCCTCACTTAGGATCTTTGGGCGGTTTTTAGTTCAACTTAGTCAGGGAATGATGCTGAAATAGCTGGCATGGAAAGGCGTCCTAAGGGCGCGTACGCACCTCGAAATTTGCTTGAATAAGAGAATCGGCCTTTCAAGGTTTTGAGGTGTGGGGCGTTACTTCCTAGTCAGAGCGAAATAGGTGTTAGGCTGCGTCCATAGACTGCAACTCGACGTTTCAAAACAATCAGCGTTTTGAGCGAAAGAAAAGTATTGCATAGATCTGGCTTGTGGGGGAAGTCAGTGTAGGGCGATATACTAGCGTTTCGGGAGAGTCAGGGTTATGAGCAAATCGGGTTTTTGAGTGTCAATCAATACATGTGCTATCCTCTTCGCTCGAAACGCCGGTTCGCTCGAAGCGCTGGTTCTCCCGGAACGCCGAGTCGCAAAGTATGAACGCAGCCTTACAAGGTGGTGACGAGCACAGCTCGTACCCTCTTGACTCTCGCGTCTCCATCTCTCCAGTCGATAAGTTCGTTGTATGCCTGCGTTTTTCTAGTGAACTAGCTAAGAACTGCTGTGGTAGTGTACGCGATGTCGCGAAAGGGGCTAATGCTCTGCATCCAAATGCCCCTCTCCTCGCTCTCGAAGTTGCAACTTTGAACTGGTGAATTGATGTCCATTCTGTGTAATCTTAACTCAATACCCTTTAAGCACCTTAGTAAATACTATAGGCGGATGGCATTTTCAGTAGCTTACTTGTTCGAATATGACTTTTCTGCTCTCTTTGAACCTGTGCTTCCTTCATTATTCATTATCCTTACCTGAAAGCTCATAGATTTGAGCGACTATGTAAATACAAACTGTGCGCTCTCCTCCGGGATGCTGATCGTTGCCGGTATGCAGATATTCTAGCTGCGAAGCGTGTCCATTTTGTCCGCTCAAGGACAGTCCCCGCGATCAAGTGGTCCGCTGAAATGCCTCCGTGCATTTGGCATCGTTGTCCACACATTCGCAGAGAATATACCACTTTGTCACTCGAAACGGCGAGATAAAGAAGCTAGAGACGCGTGATTATTGCAACAACCACGATTACTTTCACTCTGCAAGACAACGGCTTACAAGCGGAATTGCGTGTGTACACAGCGTTGCCTGGAGCGTCGTAGGTGATTTCCTGTGCTCTTGCCGGGAATCAGTTGCACGCTGAATCTTGTTGATTAGGCTTGTCCAACGTCCGACGTCCAAGGCGCCGGCCCCCTGCTAAGGTAGTCTCTATTCATGGTGTTCCCGAAGTTTTTTTTTTCGCTTCTTTCTCTACTGGGGAACTACTTATGGGCTACTGGTTCATGATTGAGCACCTACTACGTAATACTGTATCACGGGAATTGTCTTTAAAAGTACGCGGGAATGGGGCTGGATGGCAGCGATACTCAGGGTACCGTCTCTATACTCCGCCCGCGTTGCAGAACGGCCAGCCGCACGCCTAACCATAGTCAGTGGAGCTACATGACTGTGCCATCTCATTTACGTTTGTTCTCTGTCGCCGAGAGCGTGTCTCGCTGCGGAGCCTTGGTACCGACGCAAGTGCTGCACCCTGAGAAAGCGTGGGCGGAGTATAGACAAGACACCCGAGTATAACTACCACACATACCGTTCCCGTGTACTTTTGAGCGGATAGTGGCATATTGCTGCAGCACTGCTGCTGTGGACACCTTTACCCCGCACATGGAAGGACCCTTTCGCAATGGTGTGAGTTGACCGTTTGTCTTCACCAAAGACGAAAAGCTCCACGCTTTCTTTGCTTCAGCTTTTTTTTCCTTTCTTGGAGCTGGTTTTCGTTTCGAGTTGTTAATTCGACGATCTATTGTCTATTGTGATCTATCAATAACATCCTTCTGAGAATAACATCCTTAAGCATCACAATATCCAAGTGCTGTAGCTAACATTCTCTGATGGTGTCATTCTCTTGATTCATAATTAGGTAAAAGCAATTTGTTGCTCTGCTCTGATTTATGAGAGAAAAAAGCTGAGCTGAGAGCCTTCTGCTCCAGCAGTTTTGGACTTGTAAGGAAACAATGTGCAATTAAAGACTATTCTCACGATTAATTGTCATGAATGGTTGCTGTTCACTTATGAACCAGTAGAGATTCCGTAGAGAAGAAAAAAGCAAAAAGAATCTCCAAGAACAACACAAACAAAATCGCTCCCCAACATTCACGTGCCCTGCGCTCTCAGTGCAGCCCCTTGAGCACGAGGCGCTTTCACTTTCTCGTATCTCCCAGTAGTGAATATCATCCAATGCAAAGAAAAGAGAACTAAAAGCAAAAAAAAACACCGACGCAAAACTCGTAACAGAAAAAGAAACTCGGAGGCTCTGCGTACGAATCTAGCATTACGGTAGCAGGACGCACACTTGTTCACCGAAAATTTTATCACTGGTGATTTGAACAAGTCTTACTGCAGGATGCACGTTGGCTAT